CCGATCGCCAAGTCCTACCACGGCGAGGTAAATGCTGCTGTTTCTCCCAAAACTTTGGTCTTTGAGTCAATATATCCTAAAAAAATAAGGCTATGGTAAACTGTAGAAAAGTAAATCAAGTGTTTTTTCTTCTTTGGCGTAGGGCCCTTAAGCAGAGATGGCTCTTTTGGCCCATCACCTGTGAGTGGAGGAAATCCATCACCCACACAGATGATAGAAGTTCCTCCTCGGCCCCTTTCTGCTCCTCGAAGGGAAGGCTCAAGAGGTGAATTTGGTAAGCAGGGAAGCTTCCCTTCTGTGATAACTCTCTCTTATGCTGCAAACCCAGGAATGCTAAGGTCTGACCTTGGTTCTAGGGATAGTGGTAAGTATTGATACCTATTTTATTAATACACAGATGGGTGATAATTTTTTTTTTTTTAATATAGAAATAGCTCAGGCACGTGTTGATTAGGATCTGTGGGGTTCTTGTTTCCCTTAAGGTGCAGTGGTAGATGGCCCTCCTGCTCCACGAAGGCCACCAGAGTTACCAGGAAGGATGTCTGTTCCTGGTAGGTTATGTGGCCTGCAACCAACTGCAACTTACCCAGTTATTCTTTCACTTCAGAAATGTAATTTGAAAAACCATGTTCCTTATCCCACAGCATGGTAAGACATGCATCCGTGGCTCTCTTTGCAGATCTCGGACCTGCTGTAGCATCCCTGATCAGTAGTGGGCCAAGAACCTCCTCCCCTTCCACAGCAATGGATGGAGTGGTAAGCTGAAAAAAACCCAACCTTCAGGAAGTGTTTCTAATACATGATTCACTGTACTTCCTGCTGCTTCTTTAACTGTATCGTGTTCTGTCTTGTCTATATCCTGTCACTATCCTTACTTGCTGTCCAAAAAAAAAAAAGCAACCCTCTCCCAAAGAGTCTGAAGCCCCCTGTGTAACTACTGATTCACCTTCATCTATTGAACCAGCTACAGTGAGTATTCAGAGGCTGAACATGGCGTTACTCTGCTTTGATGGAGAGGAATAACAGGCTTGGTGTTCTGAACTGCTAAATAACAAAATGCTCTGCGAAACTAACCAAGGGCTTATACCTCTGTCTCAAAAGGTTTCTCTAATGATGAACAGTTGCTGTCTGGTTTTTATGGAATTGAGGAAATGAGATCTTTCTTGTTAAGGACTGCAGGCAAACACTTTGGAGTGACTACAACAATAATCCCAAGAAGCTGACTTACCTGTGGTATTTAAGCACAATTCCATATGTAATTCAAGGTGCCAGGCCCTTTACCAAAGGGGTGTCCACCGAGGACACTTCAAAAGGGATTGAACTTTTCTTTAGTACAGCTTCAGCTAAAGAAAACTTGTCATCTCAGAAGGTACACTAAGCATTCACTCCTAGGTAGTGCAAGCAGTGTTCTGGGTGAAGGGACAATGATGGTGCAGTAACTTTCCCTATTTTTCTACTTGGTTAATGTGTTTTGGGGTGTGTGGTGGTTTTTTTTTTTTCCTTTTTTTTACACACCCCCCTATCTTCCACCTCTTGGCCTTTGGGTGAGTGGTTGTGGTATTCAGCAGTGTCAATACTTCTCTGATGCAGTGAACAACACACTGAAGTATAACCTAATCTTGCACAGGCTAATGCTAGTCCCAAAGGCCCACCTTCGTTCCCTGGGACACCTATCATGACCTCCCCCGTGATGGGACCTCCGCCTCAACCGCCTGTTCGCTATGGACCGCCGCCAGCTCCGCTCCGTGGGCACTTTGGGCCTCGACCTCTTCCTGTGCCCCTAGGTACAGTTGCGTTGCCGTGTGCTGAAACTTAACTTTTCCCACCGTGCTTCTCGGAAGCCTGGTACAGAAGTGAGATCTGCCATCCGTTAGCACACAGCTTCCCCACGCTTCATGGGGTCTAGCTGTCTTGTTCAGTAAGCTTGGACAGGTGGGTTGTTTTAAGCCTCCTTAATGCCAAGGTGTTTTTCCTTGTTTAGTCTAAAATGGAAACCAGCAGCCACATGTCACTAGAATATAATTCACAGCCTGTGACGTCTGCTTGTGACAGTGACCCACCCCAGAGCTGCTCCAAAAAATGAAGAAATGAGGAACAAGTCAGGAGCTTCACCGTTTAGGTTAAAGCAAGATGTCATTTAACGCCGTGTTTTCCGTTCCTTCTAGTTCGCGGTGCTCCCTTGCCACCTCCGGCTGCAAGAGATTTCTTACCTGGCCCACCCTTAGGAATGAGAGATCTGCCTCCTGGCCCACTACCGCCTCCTCCAGATCCAAGAGGCTATGGACGTGGGCACCCTCCTTTTCGACCCCTAGGTCCTCCTGGCCCAAGAGATTATCCTCCAGGCCCACGGCTACCCCCACCTGGTTCAAGAGACTATACGCCTTCTCCTAACAGAGACTTGCCTCCATCAGGACCTAGAGACTACCCGGCAGGCCCTCCACCACCACCGCCACCACCGGCAGGCTCAAAGGACTACACACAGCCTCCCGCCCAGAAACCCTAACTGCAACGCCTGGTCAGCAGCTCAACGGAATGGACTCTAGCGCACTTCCTACGGTCAGGATTTTAGGAAATGGCTCTCTATTTGAAGCCATTTGTCTCATTTCAGTATATTTCAGCTTTTGCGGGATCAATTTTTATCCAATTGCAACAGACATCTTATGTGCATTTATGATCACCTTAAACTCATCCATCCTCTTGGGCTGCAAGAACCTTTTTGTGATGGACTTGAACCTACTCTAAACGTGCAATAGAAAGGAAGTACCTGTGTGGCTAGTTTTAATTAAATGTAGCCTCTGTAACCAGTTGGTGAATGAACTAATTTCATGAAAAATGTAAATCAAATCATTTCCTGTGGAAATAATTTTTAAGTAAAATGCTATCCTACCTGCCTTCTCCATCACATCATTAAGCTGCAGTTACTGTAGGCCAGGGGTTTACGTGAGGACTGTGAGGTGGTTTTGTTGTGGGATTGTTTTGTTTTTTTTTTTTTTTAAAAGATGCCTGGTCAGAGATCAGAAGCACAAATGACACTGTATTCAAAGGAAAGTTATAATAAAAAGCAAAATTCCTTTTGCTAAACCCTGAAGGCTTTGTTTCAGTGCCATTTTTTGTTCAGAAAGGACAGTGGTTCAGTAATTTAACCAGAGAATGCTACAGCCATGACCAAGTTCAGTAATTGAATCAAGGCTGAGTAACTGCCGCTGCTGCAAGATTAATGACTGCGTTACCCTTATGCTGAACTAGTCTGGCATGTTACGGATTTGCTTCACGTACTGAGGACAATGGGGGATACAGCCCTCCTCAGCTGAAGGCAGAACCTTTATGAAGTTGTGTACTTAGTTTGGAAATACAGGTGAATGCTCCAGGATTCTAGAAACGAAGAAATTTCATAATCACTTTCTGCTTTCAAGACTGGCTTGCAGCATTAAGCAAGGTTTGAGAGCTGAGTTCTCATCTTACTCAGTATTTAAGACCGATTCAGCTTCTTTAGCAGTAAGGCTGTGTTTTAAAAAAAAAAAAAATAGTAGTTTTCCATAAAGCAGAGTGGGTGTATGTAAAGCACAGTAATCTGTATTGCTTTAAATCAGTTTGCATATGCAGCATGCTGGATAGCTTTAAAAACACACCCTATACTTGTAGATGTTCAAGGAAGTCCCTGAATGTAAGTGTTAGTACAAGGATGAGTATGTAGTATTTGACATAGCAGGACACTTACTTATTGAGATGCTAAGGTTTTTCAAAAGTGCTCTGTACAAAAGTAAGCCTTAGGGAGGAGGAAAAAAGGGAAAACAACTTAGGAATAATAAAAAACCCTACTGAAAGGCCATTACAGCTTTACTGCTGGAGTACAAGCAGCCATTAAACTTGCCATCTAGGTGTTACATTCTTACAAGTATTAAGCTTTAGATTTAAGATGAAAGACAAGACAACATCATCAAAGCATAAAACAATACAAGAGCTTGTGTTGTGGGAGCAGTAGTCCTTTCGGTGAAAGACAGTTCACAGAAAAAACGCAAAGGGTAGAAGCAACTTTAAAAATGGTATTTCACACTCTACAGACGTTAATTCACAATTAGTTAAATACAAAGCTCTACTTGTGTATTTAACAAAAATACTTCAAATTTGACATTTCATATAACTGGAGTTAATACAGACATCTACAAGCTGGGGAAGAGGCAAGGTAAGCAGCTGAAACAATGGGTTTGTAATTCAAGTGAAAGTGTTCAATTTGCGTAGTGGCTAATGACACGCACGCTGGTGAACATTCGTGTTCAGGATCTTTCCTTCCCCCGCACCAAGCTTTGCGATGTTCAGTGTCTCCTCCCGTGCCCACCCCAGCTAGCATTAACAACTGAAACCTGGATGGAATTGCCCTCCAGGAGCACCAGGAGGAGGGTGCGGGTGCCGAGTCGCAGGGACGCACACACAACTGACCGCCGTCCTTTCACCAGGCCGTGAGCGACACCAGCGGACACAGGAGGATGGCAGAGCCAGGGCAGAGCCACAGCATCATCCCTTGCCGAGCGAGACGGGCTGTACGCGTTGCAGGGACGCTCGGTGCTACAGCTTCTTAGGTGGTCAGGAAGAAACCTGAGCCAGCCAGGGACCACTGGCAGGTAACGCAGCTATTGACCAAGCTCAGACTTACTTGCAGCCGTAGACCAATGCTTTGCTCCAACCTTTTGCAGAGTTCAAAGGATGATTTTTATTTATTTTTTAAGAATGCACGTATCCTCCTTTTGTCTGGTATCCAAAATGCTGCATTCAGAGGTATTTCCATAACTCACAGGGAAATCTTTTCAGGGCTTGATACTCAATATATCGGATGTAATACCATTGGGGTATTGTAAAGACCCGTAAACAGGAAAATTCAATTGCACTTTTTGTTTCTTCCCCTCCAACGAGTAGTGGAATTTGAGGAAGCGTTGCTGACTTTTGTCGTAACGCCTAAATAACGTCATCCCTAGTTATACCAGAACAGAGGGAAGGCAAGAAGATTAGGACATTCAAAAATAGCTTTTTATCCTAATCGATACGGTAAAGCCAAAAATGCTGAACGTCTGCCTGTAGACAGACCGGTATCGTAAGGAAAAGTAACATCCCTTCCATTAAAGCATAACGTAACATCTTGGGGTTACACGACAGGAAAGAGGAATTGGTGATACATCTGCACCCAGACTGTTTAAAATAAACCTAATATTTGACACTGTTTTGGGAGCTGGGTCTTCCGTTAGCATAGCAGAGTATTTAGGCACTAGTTAGATATGCAACAAGTATATCAAACCTTAAAGTATTGTATTAAATATCCACGCAAATATATGAAAGATTTGACTGGGTTCTACTTCTGTCCCTTTATTAGGTCAAAAGGTAAATGCAAGTGTGTCATAATAAGCCAATGTCCTGCAGCTTATTACACACCAAATCAAAAATACAGAAAATAAATGATAATCCTATCTACTTACATAAAAAGGTAATTTTTAGAGTAAGTTTCCAGACTTGCACAAAATATGCAGAAAACTGCATACAATCAGTTTCCATAAGAACAGCAGTTTCATGTAAAAGGTGGGTCAACCTGCTAGCCAGATCTACTTTACCAAAAGCTCTGGAAAATGGATGCTTGAACACTGAGGGGCCTGTCCTGCTGTCACTGAAGCGGTGAAACACCCACCGCCACGAGGATGAAGCCCTGGAGAAAGCCTCTCTCCGCCCCCCACCCACCTTTGCAAATCACTCTGCGACAAGATACAGAAAAATTAGCTCTGTTAGGGAGTAACGGTGATTTAAAGGATTGTGACACGTATTGTATCCAAAACTCAGTACAAGTGGGTCAGGCAAGGCTGTTAAAATCATAGTTCAGTGTTCTCATCTGCAGTTGTCCTCCTCCTGGCCCGACCAAAGCAGAACAGCTGACCGAGGAGCTCTTCTGCGGCCACCCCACTTGACCCAGCATCCTCCTCTCTCTCACTTCAAATCACTTGCAGTATCTCAAGCTCCTTCCCGCCCCGCCTCCTCTTTCTCCCCGTCTTCTGCCACCCAGCCCGCTACAGAGGACTCCGAAATGCAGATGAGAGGAACTACAATAGCACAGCAAGTGTAAACAGGTTAGTATGCCTGCCACATCTTTATTGCTACAGGTTTGGCAAAGGGGCAGTCTCCATCCTTGGCTGGAGTTTGAGGCAAAAGGATAATAACGGTTAAGATAAAAAGTGATGAACAGCAAAATTAGGAAAAGCAGTCAACGTATTTCAGGGCTCTCGGAAAAACCTGTATCTGGAAAGTACTGGGAAAAAGACTTGCAGTTGAATGGTGGGCTTGCCTCTGACCCTGAAGTAGTGCTGTGCAGTGTGTGATGGTCCCGTCTGACCTACTGGCATGAATACAGTCGTTTTCCTGCCCCTCAAAGGCTAAGGCTACTACACACAGCTACCGTGACTTGTGGTTCAGTTCACAGAAGTCTCACAACTAGGGTCATTCCTTGTGCAATGTTTGATGGAGGTGAAGGTAAAGTGGTTTCTTGGTCAACAGTTGCAATTTCTTCCTTTTAAAGTCAGTGGGTTTTTTGTACCTGTAACCACAAGAAAGTGAGTTAATCCAAGTGCGAATGGCTGCGTAGGAAGATGAAAGCCTACTAGAAAGCTTGTCCTGTACAGATCTTCCTTACTACCGTAATCTTTTAAATACATCTGACAAGACTTACTGGAAGCAACAATAACGAATAGATTTACAGGAAGAAACTCAGACCAGTATTTTCTCTGGATTATTATTTTAACAAAACAAAGATTTCAATTTTTAAATGAACGTGAGCTTTTTGTAAGGAGAATTCATGATATAATACTCTGGACTGTAGGAAATGCAGCGTCTCCTACTTCAGTACTCCGTATCTCAGTACTTCAGAAGTTCTCCAGCTAGCACAGACCAAGAACTCTTCCTAGAGACGCCCAGAATTCACCCTCTTCCTGAAAAAAACCACTCAAAAACCTCACTCAGACCTTCAGCCACACAGTAAAGGCAGGATGCACATCATAACCACTGCAGCATAACTGGCTAATCTATTTCTTTGTCTATACTTGGAGCGGGGGGGAAAAACCAACCACCCAACAATGCTTTGAAACGTTCATAAAATTCAATTGCAAATCAGTATCCCACGTCTCAAATCAGTTTTCCTTTACAGAAGTTCTGCACCAGAAGATTGTGGGAGTTGAAATATTTTTTATTTTTTTTTAAATATAGCTGATCTGACACTCAAGCTAAGATCAAAATTAAAATCTCCCAATTTGTTAAATTCATACAAAATTTAGTTACAAACACCAGCATTTTATTTGGAAATAGTCTAGTTTTTGAGAAGAGTCTCTAGCCATTTTATGTGCCTAAAAGCATTTTTTTCTTCCCTTCTTTATTAAAAATGGAATATTCCTTATGGAAATCAATCAAATGGGTCCAAGAAACTTTCCTTGATGCAACGAGCCACACATTGTAACTGAAGTCTAATTCATTTCCTCTGCCATTGGCATCTATAATTGCAAGTCACTTACAGTTCTATAACAATTGCCCCAGGTTTAATTTCATCCATCTCCATGAAAGCAAAGCACTTGGTGCTAGTAAACCTTTTCTTAGGCTTGTAGTGTTTGAATTCAAAGAAAATAGCTGCACCTAGAGTGGAAAATGGTTTAACAGAAAAGTTAGCAATTATGGCCAGCAGTTATCTGAAACCTTATCTGCCATTAAGATGCTCTACATACATTGGACGGAATCATCTCCAACACTTCAGTTATTTACCCAAAAGCTATACCGTGTTCTTACAACGCTCGCCACGCTCACAAGAGCTTGTACTCTTTGCTCGATTATTCATATCCAGGTAACAGTTCGTCCAATGACCAAGAAGGTCATAAAGCCCGTGTAGCAGAGCAGGCTGCTGCATTTTTGTCTCTTTTCATTCCTCCCTTGTCTGCAAGTCATCACAACGACCGATTTGAAAGAGACAGGATGCAAAGGTCTATTTTTATCCTTGTCTGGATCTTGAGCCCTGCAGTAGCAGCTCAGGCACGGCCTGTTCATTAGATCAGGAGCAGCCTAGCGTCCACACTTTCAAAGCTCCTGGGCCCTGTTTCAGGTCTCTGATACTACCTACCTTTTGTTAGTTTTTCAACGTGTTTCTGAATCTCGATGTCCACATTAAAATGGACATACGTGTCCTCCTTCCTCAAAGCCACAGGAGTATCTTGCACAGGAGTCAGATCTATCCCATTCAAATCTGCGGGAAAGAAACAGCATGAGAATGGCAGAAGCTTCTCAGACTTTAAGGTCCTGCTTTTAGAGATTTACGAATCACTCCTAATACTGCCACAAGAAGTTAACGCACACCTGGATTCTTCCCCTAAACTTAAAAAAGGGGCAATCATGCCCCTTCACAGCCAGTGAATTTTCTTTTTGACTGCAACTTGAAAGCAGGTAAAGTTCTGACAATATTTAAGATGAAAATTTGGCATTATCCCTCTTTTTATTTTTAAGAGCACATTTCTTTCTGCTGCCACCAAAGGATTCCATTCCCTCCGCAAGCAGGACTCCAGCAGGGCTTCAGAACTGCCAGCTGAACCGGCAGAACGGGATACACACCAGAGTCCCCTTCACACAGGGTCTGCAGGGCACAGCTTATACAAGCTGCGCATGCCCTGCTTTGCTGCCTAGGCTCAGCGTGCATTACTCCTCTTGGGTCTTCCACAGGCAGAGGCACGGTGGGGCCACGGGTTGGACTCCAGCTGTCAGCGCCAGCCAGTGGTTGTGCTGCTCAGGCACAAGCCACCACAGACAACATTACTTCTCACTAAGTCTCCGCTGTTTACACGGGTACACTTGTCCTCTTACTCTTTCTCCTCTCATTAGCGTCCCCTTTCTCTCAGGTGGAGCAAGGTTGCCAACGACATGGCCAAGACTACAAGTACACAGTGCATGCATTGTGCCTGGGGTACAGGCTGGGGCCCTGGGGCAGCACTGATGCACTTCATCCAGGGAGCGGGCTGGGACCACCAACGTTGCATCAGGAACAAACCTCTCTCCAAACCTGCAGAAGAGCAGCCTGGTATAGAACCAAGGAAAACAACTACTTACTAAGCATCTTGAGACTCCCGATAGGGACAAAATGACTTTTCAGAGTTACTTTTCCTCACCAAAAATCTCGAGAAATAAAGTATAAAAAGTCACCATTAGCAGAGTAGGCGATAGCCCGCCCCCCCGCCCCCCCCCTCTTTCTCTTTAAAGTATAAAAAGTCACCATTAGCAGAGTAGGCGATAGCCCGCCCCCCCGCCCCCCACTTTTTGATCCTATTTTCTACATCGTTACTTGGCAGCCACCATTTATAGGAGCTTGCAGACAAGAGTGCCACGTGTTAACAGAAAGACTTGTTGGGAAAGCAAGCCTAGCAATATACAGTCTCCCTTAGCTCCAGAAAGGAAATGAGAGCTCGGTCTGAAGGCAAGCAACGGTTTTAACAATATGTAACGTTAGGAAAGACAAACACTTCAGTGGAAAGGAACAACGAATGTTTGCTTTACAAGTTCTGTAAGTTCCAGGATCCAATGTTAGAACCCCGTTAGGGCTGGTATTTTCCTGTTGGCCAAGAGAAACTCAGCATGAAATAATTAAATTTTATTAAACCCACTTCCATCCAGCTAGCCCCACCACTGAAGTCACCTGTCCCTCAGCTTTCCAGCATACTAGACGCAAAGAAAGATCCACAAGTCACTAGACAAATGGAGCCCGAAGAATAGTTACACAATCTAAAAATAATGCTGCAAACCTAAGGCAACACCATAAACAAAGCAATATTGCACGTTTCCAAGACTGAAAACACAAAAAGGCAGTTCTATCAGCCAGGGAAGGCAAGAGTCATGCTCCAGCTTCCACCCCAACCTGGTGAAGTCCTCAAAGGTCCAGAGAGAAGCAGAAGGTTTCACCGTTGACAAATCATCACAGGAAGCGGGATTAGATAAAGCTTTCTATCTATATATTTTGGAAGGTAACATTTGAGAACATCACTGGGATTCAAGTGACATTCAATACTGTGACCCCTATTTCTGCCAAAGAACTTCCGATCACACATCTAACAAGTGTTTTATCCCCACGTTTGGTATCCAATAGCACATCTAAAGAGGACACGTACAAGGTCGCTATCACAACTGAAAATAACTGGAGGCTGTTGGCTCAGCTACAGGTTTTTATATGATAAATAAAAAAACCACACACCTCAAAAGATTGTAAAGATAAGCAGAAGTCAAGCAGGGCAGGTTAAGGGTAAGCAATTCTGACTATGCGGGCTTCCTGATAAGAAATACAAGATGGGCAAGAGGCAGATGCTCCCACTAGAAAGAGTCTGAATACCAAAAATCTCAGCCTCAAGCTAAAGCCATCAACCATGTTGTCATCTGAAACAGTGAGAAATCCTTATGTGGCCTATCCTGGACTGACAGAGAGAGAGGTTCTTCCAGATTCATGGAACCTCTTAGAGCAGCAGGGGCTGTTAGCCCACCAGGTTTGGTCGAAATATTTCGCTGCCAATGCTAAAACACAAAATGTTTTATTTCACTTGCAAGCTTTGCTTCCCAGCTTCATACCCACTCCTCTAAACCTTAAGCTTCAGTAAGATGATCTTTGTTTTACTGAAAAATTAGTTTAATGACAGGGAAAGAATGGAGCCAGCGGGCTGTGGTTCACCGTCTCCAGAGAGCCCAGAGACCAATATGTGTTGGGGAGTCCAAGGAGTCCAAACAGATCTGTACTTAAGAGTCAGCCGAAGAAGCTGGAATAGAGAAGTACAGTCTGCCAAGTCACTGATACTCAGCTCCCAGCACGGGGCAGGCACCCTGGAGTGCACAGATAAGCACGTCTCCTGCAGTGCTTCACCTCCCAGTATCTCTCAAATACAGAATTTTTCCACCCTTGATTAAAGCAGAGGCCTTAAGTCCACAATAGAAAATGCAAGTACCAACACATATTTTTTCCCATCAGGTTGAAAAATCAATACAGCTTTCAGAAAGCGCACTCTCTCCAAGCTAGAAATGAGGAGCCAGGAACGGAAATCATTACCCTTTACACTGACTGTGATGTAAGGATCAATGCACTGCCCAGCATCTTTCAGACCAATTTTCTCTATGTTGATGGTGAGTAATGTCATCCCGGGTTCAGATGGCAATCTGGGTAATAAAGTACCTGGAAAGAGTAAAGCATATTATTAACCCTTTGTGTCATCTTACAGCAGAGGCCTTGCTTATCCCATCATCTCTCATGGAAGATGCTGTTCTCCACAGGGGGTTCAAAGCCCAAGGATTCATATCCTGATAGTACACAGCACTATGGGAAAGTCTGTGTGCACAGACACACAACATCATTTGACAGATTTCAAAGCCCACACCAAAAAACCCCAGGACTGCCTCAAATCAAATGAATTCATAAAAAACTAAATGTCATAAGAACAGAGAGGAGCTTTGCTTAAAGTGTTCTTTCTTGCTCTCATGCAGAATAACTCATGCATGGAACTGAATTTGTATCATTTTTAAGGATTAAATTTGGGAGGCTGGATTCAATCTGCAGTTGCAGGAAGTTCAGACACTTAATCAGGAGTCCCACCCCACTGAACATGACTTGGCTTCATGCTGAACATTTAGGCTGGGAAAATACGGAGGAAAATGGCATTGTTGCAAATCCCACTGGACATAAGGGAACCAGAAGAGAGATTCTTAATTACCTAAGTTCTACTGGCCTCTACTTAAAGGAAGGAGATTAAAAAAATAATAAAAAATAGCGTTTGCATCCCCCAAGTTCCCTTCTGCCTTAAGGAAGGAGTTCCCAGCTCTGCATCAAGAACATTTAGCATCAAAACTTTGTGTTCAGTGTAGGTGAATCCTCGCAGTGCTGAGGAAGACAGTGCAGCTGGCAAGAAATCCAAACTGTTCAAACTCACTAAAAGCCATGAGATTCTGTTACCAACAATGGAGTAGGTTTCTTCATGCTGATTTTAGCAAAAACTGGCAGGCTTCAAGCCTCTCTCCAGTATTAGATGAATAAGCACCAAGACAGAAAATGCTTAGACTCATGAGCAAGTTTGATTTAAAGTTATGGTTTTCTAATTAAAAAAAAATGTTATCCCAAGGCTTGAGATCTAAACAAAGTAATAGTTTCCTTTGGCAAGTCCAACGTGGGTTTTCCTTGATACTTTTTTCCTCTTGATCTGCTTGAGGAGCTAGAGAACTAAGGAGTTTTTGTCCTATTAGAGAGACTGGCTTTGCAAGAGGGGAACACGTATTCTGCTCTTAGAACTAGCGAGCCACAGCTTCAGCAAGATTTCATGAGCACACCCACACCCAGTCCCTCTTTCAGAATCATCAGCAAGACTTGAATTCACATCTGTGATGCAGTACGTTTCTGCATTTCCTGTCTTGGCTGCTAGCAGACTCATAACCTCCAAGGTACCGCATCTGCAGGCACTTCACAACATATCACGGCAGAATTCAACCCACCACTCTGAAGCAATGGGACAGGCTTCTGACCGTAGTATGAGAAATGTTAAAAAAACCTTATTAGAGAGCACCCATTTCTGCAAAGCAGCATACACGCTCTAGTGTATGTCTCTAGTGCTGTCTCTCTTGTTCAAAGACAGAGTTCTTATTCCAATCTAAATGAAGGTAGAAGCAAGCCCGTCTTCTCTTTGGCACAAAACTTTGCTCTGCCATCTTTCAGTTGTCTCCTAAAAGCAGCGTGCCCCCCAAGAGCCAAGAACAACTGTAACTTTCACTTTTCCTATCCATCGCTCAAAGGGACTAAGTGATGGGATACTTGACACAAAAATCACCTGGAAAATGCATCAGGCTGGCATTTATTATAAAAATAGTGGCTTAAGAAAAATTATTCTGTTCTTGAAAAATGCTTTCCAGAATGTGTGAAATTGCAGAGTTGCAATGAACGGAAAGGTCAAGCTCACTTCCAGCAGGTAAGACAACAGCAGGACAGATGATCTCCAAGGAACACTGTTTCCTTTCTGCCTCAGCCGGAGGAACAGCCCAGCCAGCGACGGACTAAAGCAGCTGACTGTAACCTGTCTCGTGCGAGCCACAACCACCCAAACAGGTCTTTCGCTGAAGCCTCTGTAGTCATTTCACATAGGAGCCATCAGCTGACAGTAACCTCTCCATGGTACAACTGTACTAGGGCTGGGCATCGCGCTGCCAGTCTGCCACCACGGCTTGGGCCCATTAGCCTTCAGCAGGCTCACACTGAGGCTTTTCATGAGAAAACAGCCGGCCATTTCACACACAACCACAGGGCATCGTTGCCAGAGGGGAAAGGGAGCATCTACAAATGAAATAGGTGTCCTCCTAAAAGTGCATTTCAGATATACAAAGGTGAGCCAACCCAACAGCTCACTGCCACCAAGACACAGGCGTTCAGTCTGTCCGTTCTCAAACCCCAATTCAGAGAAAGGGGAAAAAGCGACAAGTCTCCTGCTGGGTTCACAAATGGAAATCGTTCACAGAAGAATCCATTGCCAGCACAGCACTGGAATAAAGAAGTATATAACCAGGAGAAAGGCAGGAAACCTTTGCTGTTAGAGGCCGCAAGCCATTGGTCAGCTCAGCTCCATACAGCACAGAAGTCTAACCACGTAAGTACTCTTTGTGTAAGATTTCCCATCAAATGTGTATTCCACGACAGAAAATCTAGCTACACCTACCTTTGGCTACACTGCAAGTCAGAATGCCTTTAGTAGCACAGCAGGACTTCTAGAGAGCTATGTAAGGTGCATCACCAAATAAGACCTTCCCTTTTTCTGGTACCTAAGGCAAATGACGATCAACACATAGATGCCTGGTACTATGATTGTTACCGAAGATTGTATTTTGAGGGTTGAAACTAAGAGCTGAATGAAGAACATCACAGCTACATGAACGTAGTCAAAGAAATAACTGTATATACTAAAAGGTTATCATACCTTCGTTGGCTCCTGGGTTAGATGAATGGTGCAATGTGATAACGATGAAGCCATGCATGTAGAAGACAAGACCATGGTCAGTTAGACAATACAGTTATGCACTATGGATTAAAGGCATACAGAAGCGAAGAGTGCAACACAGTTCTATCAATTCAATACGGAAAGTCCACTTTACTGATAAGGCTCACCTCAGAAGGCTGCAAGCTGCTTTCGTTCAAGCCTCATCACCCAGAGAAAGAGCAACAGGTAAGAAGCACCACACTAACTTACATTCAATGGGGAAACAAGATCTGTGTTCAAGCAGTGCAAAACCACCTTTGGGGTTTAGATTATTGTAGCTATGGGGAAGTCTACCTTCATGCAAAAAAATTCAGAAAAGTCAGATATGCAGTTTATTAAGTAGATGACAATGCAAAATATCAGTAAGTTCAGGAGTTGCTCTCACCTCCTCTTAAAAGCATGGGTTTACTGAGGAATAATTCTGTAAGAAAGTATACGTCCCAAACCTCTCCTCTTTCCGACTTGGCTACCCTACTTCTCTGAAAGTGATTTAACTGTAAACTCAATCTGTCATCAACTTAGATTCTTTCTTAAGCACACACACAGCTTCTATGTCCACTATATGCGTACAGCTCTAACTGTTGGCACTATGGTAATGGTCACAGCCTTACTGATTCACCACCATACCGAGAGCTACTCAAGATCTCTCTGCCGTACTTCGGACAGACAGAATACATCTTCGTAAATGGCTTTATCATGGTGAATAACAAGGATCAAGATAGTAAATGTCAGCAATAAAATATCACAATATATTATAGCCTGTGAGCTTAGCATAAACAACTGTAGACTGTGCATACCTACATCAGTATAGCCTGCAGGGATCATATTCAGTAGCATGCATTGGCTCAAATCTAAGGACAGAGGCGTGTTTTCTCCAGGCATAAGTAATGCAACACCCCAGCTCTTTCAACCATAATTCCAGTATTATTTTCCCTGCTTGTTATCTCCTTCCTGAAATACAAAGTTTGCCAACCTGCTCTGAAACTAGAAACTTGTTTCTTCTGCAAAGAAACTACACCAGGAACCAAAAGAACCTCTGTTGGAACAGCCTACTCCTTTGCCTGGTAAATTGACAAAAGCTGAAGTTACAGGACAACCTTCTCTAGAATCTGTAGGTATATCCAGTTCTACAAGTGCTTTCACGTGGACAAGGACTTAACCTATCAAAACCAAAGCTAGCCCCTCTTTATCCTCTCAGAGCTCAGGTTTAGTCTAAGCCATTGTCTCACCAGATGATGCAATACAAAAATAACCAGCAACAACTTATCACATCTCTCGCAGGATGTAATGGCCTTTGCAGGAGAAACATTGCCACAATTTACATTTGAATGCATTTGAAACACTTCACATAGTACAGTTAAGGAAGTGCATGGAATGAAAATACTGAGTTTGAACAAGGAATAAAGGCTAATTATTTGAGGTAGATGGCACCACCCTCATAGGTTATCCATACAACTGTTTTGCAATAAGATACTGTTTGCTGAGAAAAAAAATCCACTGGCCACCTTTGTGGTTCTCCAACACAGCATTAGAGTTTATATTAGCCTGTGGCTCCTCACCCAAACTTTTCACATCACAGGTGGAGAAAGGGGCTTCTCAGAGACAGAACTTACACGTTACATAGGCTGGCATGGCAAGGCTAGTGCCCCTACCTGGAACTCTAGCAGGAAAAGAGTCTGGAGACCCGGCTCCAGCTCCTCCTTCCTCATCATCCTCCTCAAACTCCAAGTGTTCTTCTTCTCCAGGTGCTAAAATCTTCCTGTAAAATATGAAAAAGAAGAACGAGACCAAAGATCATTCATTATCTGGCTTTCAACACACAAGTCAGCATCTGAGTATAGAGCAGGGGCAACATGCTTCAATGTCATTTCATGCTTCTGATTAGCTACTAATTGTATCTACAGACCCTGACAGAGGTTGCAGGAGCTTAGCCCACATAGAAAGCACAGTCTAAAACCAAGAGACGATACAGAGAGATGTAGGGGCCTACCAACTACTGATTTTACCAAAAGCATGGGCTTGATTTTTAGTGGTACCTAGAAAATCAGAATTCAAAAGTTTTCTGGTTTTTTTTTTTTAACGAGTTTACCCAAAGCAATGCAGCAAGTAGGTAGCTCCAGAAATTCTAATGTCTCAGATGTACACCAGGTCCCAGGCTATGCTCCCTTTCGGATACGTATCTGTACATGAAGTGACCCAGTTCTCTCTTACCTGAGTGGAACAGGCTGAACATCAAAGGGAAACTCCTTATTGTAAGTGAGGATATTCTTTAAGACTGAAGACAGGAAGGAAGAAAAAAAAAAAGAATCCATATCCATAAGCAAGCATTAATTCCACTACTTTGCACAGCTATGTCCATTCTCACACATTCATCTTCACACATACAAATAATATAAAAAAATCAGATCATGGCAAAAAAAATTTCTCTCGGGTTTTAAACACCAGTACAATCCTGATCAGAGCTATATCACTATAACACTCAGACAGGCTAACCGCAATTCCAGTACATAATCACCACCACATTTACACAGGCAGGGAAGATAAACACGGCAATAACCAAAAGCATCATGAGAAACAGCTACAGACCCCCGAGGTAACGGTAGCAATCTTTGGTGGTTATTGAAAGGAGGGTGGTGCTGTTACTGGCAACAGCTCCAAACAGACTGAAGTCTCCAGAACTGACGCCGTAGGCTGCACAGACAGCCACTGTGGCAGTCAAGCATGCTGGTAACACATACCTTAGTTGAGATTTCCTACTTCTTCATGCATGTGTTTTGGTTTTTGGTGGCGGTGGGATTTTTGGTTGGTGTTTTTTTTTCCTGCCCTCAGATGTCTGGGCAGATTGGCAAAATTCAGAAGAGATCCAGTGCAACATCTGAGCATCAAGCCCCAGAGACACTGACTAAACTCTCCAGCATTCAGTGGAGAATGGCTTTGCCATTTGTATTAGAAACTTAAGTTTTAGTAATTACAAACTTTAGCTGTTATTTCCAAAAGCATTTGTGAGTAAAAGCAAAATTTCCAAAAGCATGTGAAAGAAATAAGCATTTCATGATGGCTAAAGGACCTAAAAATTTACAACATAACACCTGCAGGGAGAGGCACTCTCCTACCAGACAATGAGTATCCCCAACTGGGTAGGGAGAAAGGAAGTAGAAAAGCTGAGTCCTCTTACCGAGTCTCACTTTGCAATATGCCCTCTCAGAGCACATTTTAGAAATCTCCCCTTAGGACCCCTGAATGAGACCAAAACTGTTTTAAAACAGTGTTAGAATTACACAAATACCCAGAGTTACTTAAATACCAGTTACGTTTAAGGAACCACTGCCAGGCCCCTCTGCCTCTGCACACTACAATTCAGCCAGCGTAGGAGAGACAGCTTCCCCGTCTGTCTTCATATTCACATCGCTCAGCGTGGGCTCCATCATTAACTCACCAGACACCATCTGAATGCTACAGTGAATAAAGAATCCCTCCGGGAAACTACAAAGAACCCAAAAAGTCTTTCCAGCCTTTGCTCCTTCTGTTGGGTTTTTTTTTTTCCGATTTCTGTACCACCACCTGAGAGGTTAGGTACTGCCTGATTCCAGCTGGACACAATGCATCAATACATAGAAAGCTTTAAGTTGCCTTCAGTCAGAGATGTGACAGACAAAACTGATGCCAAGTCTCTCTCACTCTCCCCCCAGAGACTTCTGCTCCAAGGGATAAGTAATGCAGATCTCAACATGGTAAAAATTCACAGCCACTTCCCAACAGAAAGGCAGCTGATTAATAGCAGAGAGTCACCTTCCAGCGCAGCTGAGGTTCAGGAAAAGGAGGGGATTTTTATCCAATTCAGAATTCCCCAACTCTTGGAGAGCTACATCATACCAGAGACAGAAAGTGAAACTGCCCCAGGCAGAAAAATCTCAGTAAAGCGAGATCTCTTACAGATCACAGGCACGTTATACAGAAGCAACAGAAGTCACAGTAGTTCTCCTCCCACCTTCCAAAGGTTGGTGAGCACTAGATTCCTCTCTCTTCCCAGTAACCAATTTCTCTCACTACATGAATGAACATCCTCTAAAAAAACCCTCCTAGTAATTCATTTCAGCCATCGCTAGAGGGCACAAAATACTCCACCGATGCGAGCACAGGAAAAAGGCAAACAGTCCTACAGCGCCTAAAATCTTGATGCTGCCTGGAGGCAGAGCTGAGCAGACACCCCTCTGCCACAGAGCCGCAGCCACGCACACGGGCCTTGGTGCCGGACCTGCCCACGGGAGTACGCTGCTTTCAGACATCCCGGGGGTGTTGGTAACAAAGGTGATGCTGAACGTTTAAACACTTCTGGAAACACCATCCAGAATCTCTTGTCTTTTGCCGCAGAAAGCGGTGGATCAAGTTTTTAAAAGGCCTTCAACTCTCTCTCATCACCAATAGCAAATACTTCTGCAAAGTTGTAATATGGCGATTCACTAAAGCGCTCCTTTAAACATCATCAGGGTAAGAAGTGGCTCTACAGCACTCAGGCTGGTGAAATACTTATTCAAGGTCACTGAGGAAAAGCAAACCAATAAAACAGCAATGCAACAATCATCCTTTGAAGAAAAGGAAAATCCTCTTTACACCTATTACAAGTGCAAGTTTCAGCTGATTTAAGTAAAAACAACCAGATCACAAAAAAAAAAAGGTTACAATGAACAGGAATCTCCCTTGCAATACTGCATAAGACACCTAAGCTTTAAGAGGTTGGTTTGCACTTTTTCGGGTTTTGTTTTGTTTTTAAAAAACACACATCACCTCTGGGAGAAAGAGCACTTCCCCTCTGTAACGCTGCTGCTGAGAACACGATTCACAGAAAGTTCTCCATGTGTGTAACTAATGGGCAGATCCCAGCATCGTGGCCTGCATTTATGTTGCTTTTCCAACAGAAATCTCTTTAAAATAGTTCTGCAGGCTCTCACACAGAAGCTGCCTTTTCTTTTGTGACGTTGGACAAAACCACGTTGATTTTATCAGCAGTTGGCTCTCTCTTGAAAGATTTCAAAAGAAATTATCAACATGAGCAGTAAGACCAGTGTCCATTTAGATTTTTAGTGAGAGCCTATGATAACTATACTGATTTTTTTTAAATAGACAACACAAAATAATTCAGGTATCAGGCTCCCCAGCACAACCCAGTATCTACTTCTCTTATAACACATATAGACTGAGTTTGAAACTAGTGGCTTAGTGGCTAGAATTATCACACACGAACACAGGCACACAGGATGTCCCAGCCTAACCATTTGTAATACGTATTATAACACTGGTATAAGCTTTCACAAGAAAAGGATTTGTGAGATCCAGTGCGTTAGCAATTATTTCACAGTGTAGTCTCAAAAGAACTATTTGTATGTATGGACCCTCCTGTAGCATTATTCTAGCACAGAAGATTCAGTGACAAATCCTATAAACAAATAAAACTAGCCAACTGCTTCACTTTCCAAGCAGCGTGAAATGCAAGCTTAAGTAGGAAAAGTTAGAACTTGAACAACACAAGGGGGTGGGGGGTGGGGGTGGGAAGAAAAGGTTAAATCTAAGGGCTTTGGTTGTTATAACAACCCAAACCAAATTTCTCAGCCATTTTGACAGCTTCAGGCACAAAAGTAATTAAAACAAGCCAAATTGTGTGAATAGCTGTTTTCGTTCCACCCTAACAGAATGGCTTGACCTAACAAAGGAACTGCTTATTTGCATTGCCAGCCCAGATTTTTTTAGCTTTTTCTGGTGGAATGCAAGAGAAAATTGACAACACACAAATTTAAACACTTCATGGTGTATTTTATGAAATGGCTGGTGCTGGTCTGATTAAGATTTACTCTATTCCAGATATACTTAAAAACCACAAAACAAAGGCACAATTCAGAGAGAAAGAGGCCAGAGCAATCCAAGTCAGACAGCAGCATTAAGAACATCAATGTTCAATTGTTGTAGAAGCACCCGTTCTCCTCCAAGGAAAATAACTCAGTGTCTTTGAAAACTGATGGCCACACACTCTTCCTCAGTTTTAATATAGTTGCTTGTTGTATGAAGCATGGGCTGAATGTGCTTCACACTGTTGAACAGTTTTTTGACAGCTAAAAATCAATCCCCTGAGGGAGGGCAAGATAAGCAACAGGACTATTGTACAGTAACTGAAATTTTGGCTTTTAAGAAAAGGAGGCATTTCAAGGGAAGCTTTATGTCTGTTGTCAGAATGCAAACTCTGACTAAACCTTCAATAGTCACTTCCTTTGATTTGTAGAACAGTTTGACCAATTAAAATATGATTCCTCTCCCTCTTCCATCGTTCAATCACTCATAGGGCATTTGCACAACGGAGTCTAAAATCCACAGTCATTAAATGATTACAACATTTTAAATACTTTGTAAACAGAAAGCAGGAGTATCTATAGAAAATAATCCCAAATCAGAGGATGCAGAGGCCGGACATGCAATATACAGATTGAGAAAGACCTAGTACTTCCAAACACATAGTTAAACCCTTTCCTGAGTTTGGTCTTCACAGACCTAGCAGTATTGTAACGTACCTTCACTTTCCATTTCCAGGGAACAGTTTAAAAGCATTTGGACTCTATGTTTTGGTAGAGACATTAGGAACCTCAATTCAATGCCCTGCTTCTTGACAAGCATCCCTGTAGGATCCTGTGCCAGTTACGTAGAGAATGAGAGTGCAGAGAAGCTCAGCTTATTCATGAAGTGGAAACACCTGCCTGCCCATCATGTTTATCCCCAACATCCCCCTTAATGGTACAATTGTGATGGGAGCAAAATAAAACCAGCTTTTGCCAGCTGGTTTTAGAAGCTCTTCCACATCTCCTGTTCCCCAAGAATAGCAGAAACATTAGCATTCAGGATAATATTGCTTAGATGTGGAAGCTCTGATCATAAGGATGCTTTGAGAATAAAGCAGCCAGTGTTACCGTAAGGAAAATGTAGCAGATAAATAGATACTTCCTACATGAAAAAGTTATTTCTGGATTGACATACCAAGAACTGACCCAGGATCAGTTGGAACAACTTCACACAAAACCCTTCAAAGACTGACTCACATCCTCACTGTGACTCTTAACTTCGTTAGTCTGGTAGCATTACGGTGGTAGGTGACAAGTGATTGGCTACCATGAGCACAAGTTAAATATTTTCACAAGAAAAAATAAATTTCGTGCTGCAAGGAGGAAGACCAAAAAGTGTTGAAATTCAGTTCAAATAAGAAATGTGCAGGTAAATTTTCCAGCTGATTATATTCTGTACTACTGATAGCTTAAACTACTATTTTGTGCAAAAATTAGCAGCACCCAAAGATTACTTATTTGAGAATAAAGATGAAGACGTTATCTGAAACATTAGGACTACTATACTTTGAAGTTACCCACATTGCATTCCTTAACACACATCAGGTTTTGTCTATGTGGTAACAGATATTTGGAAGAACCACCTAAAACCAGCATTACTGTCAAACCACATTGTGGTCAGTCAGTATTTGTGCCGCTGTCATATTTTCCACTGTAATGATAAATGTCACTCACTTAAAATACAAAGATACTACTTACTTGGTTCCAACTTCTTCAGATCCTCAAGCTTAAATTCATCCTGCGATTGGGTGGACTAGGACATCACAAAGAAAGGGTTAGAACTTAGTATGCACCTTCCCCTCAGACAGAGCTACCAAATCTTAGAATAAGCATGCAAGGTGCTTCCTTTGTTCAAGCAAACCAAGTTACTTCAAAGCTACGTCCTAAAAAAACCCAAACAAAGTCTCCCCAACAGAGGCTAGGTTCACCCCCAAAGTCTCCCCAACAGAGGCTAGGTTCACAGGTGAGGCGGAAAGTACACTACTTCTCATTCATTGAGAACAAACTTATGCCATGTTCCAAGCTCTAATGCAAGGTAAATATTTTTAAAGCGACTAGTTGGTCTTTCATACCTACTAGACACAGGAACGTTAAGACAGAGGGATGTTTTAATTCTTCCCCAACCAAGTTGTTCTGAAGCAAGATCAGCTGTAAGACTGCAAAGGGATGTTCCAACAGGAGCATTCGCAGTTCAAGACTGTTACACCCAACATTGTAACACTGGCAGAAATTACAGTATACAGGATAAGCTTGACAGAACACTCAGCTAAGAGCTCACTGCAAATGGAAGAGGGATTCCCACCTCTCCTTTCTCCAAGTCTGATGATGCAGTTTCCTCATTTGGCTGTAGCACATGTCTGCTTCTCAGTAAGCCTATTTGACTTACTAACTCAACAGAAAAGTTTTTAATTTTTTATTCTGAGGCAGTTCACTGACAGTTTGGCAAGCTGAACTAGCCTATTCTGGGATTACAAGTGGCAGAGCTGGCATAAGAAAAGTGGTGCAAATAAGAGGATTGACATCCTCTTTTAGGATGAGGATCAGGTCTTACCTATTGTGTCATTGCACCCTTGGCATCTCTTAAGATTACCCATTGTTTTCAACATTTCTTTAAGGCCTGATGGGTTTTTAATCTTGATTTTGCCCAAGTGTCAACAGGAACCTTCTGCAAGACTACAGAAAGACAGTAAAGCAGCTATACCCACACTATTAGAAGAATGGGAAAAGGTGACCACGCTCACTAACTGCTTTAATCTCTGCTAAGAAACCTGCAACAAAACTGCAGCAAGTAAAACACTCCCCAAAGTGAAGTGGATGAGAAGTTCTAGTACCCTCACATGAGGTTATAAAAACCTTGAGTTACTGCTGAGGAACCAACAGCAAGGAAGGCTGTTCTTGCAAGACATCATCTCTTCAGTTTGGCAGGTTATGACATTGCTGCATCTTCTGCTGTTGCTCTGAGATGTGACCTGACCCATGAAGCTGTCCCACAATGGAACACACCTGCCCTCGTCACAAAATCACAGTGACTCAGAACAAATGCAACGCTGTTCAAACACCCCAGGTTAGATCAAAATAGAAAGACAGGTAGAGCTAACCAAATAATTCTTCAAACGCTGCACAGCCTTGAGACTGGTCAGCCCCCACCTCATTAGTCCAGCTCCAGCATGCTGCCTAAACTGTCACCGTATCCCAGCCTCTCAGACAATTGAAGGCAGCACAATGGAGCTGCTGCACCTTGTACAGCAACATGAAGTACTCAGGAGCGCTGCTGTGAGTAACTTGATGCAAAATTTGCCTGTCACCATTTTCTGTTGGTAAAGAGGTGATCCAGTAATCCAAACTTCGCTTCAGTTGATTCACCCCTCCCCCATCCACACTCTGTTGGAAATTTCTCTGACTTCCCTTTTGTTTTGGGGATAAGATTGTGCTGAGAGAAAAAGAAATTCACTTCCATGACATCTACCTTCAGTCCAGGAAAAAAGCCCAAAGAGTCGCTTCTAAATCATTATTTTCACACACTTGCCTAAAGCACTGGCAGTTTTCATGACTGCTACAAAGTCATTTTTATTCTACACACACATTCTTCCTTGCGCTGTATTATGATTTGTGAAGCGGCTGAATTACTGCAAGGGTCACTCCGGGAATCTTTTCACCCTTGCACACAGGTTAGGAAGACAAACTAATCAGTTCTGAAGGAGGAAAATGAGGCAAAGAACCAAAGACATGAGACCTGCAGTTAAATTCCTGTACAAACCCTAATACATGCTTATATAAGCACTTAAAGGTTTTTAAGGCAGCCACCTGGAGCATCATGTTGACAACCTGGAAAGTCTAAGTGTTCAAGGGTTTGTTCACTCTGTTTGCACAAATTTTGCTATGTCTGAAGACACTAAACTAACTTTAAAAATCTCTACAGTTACTTATCACTAAAGTATGAAGTCACATAGGAAAGAGAGCTATACCTGTAAAGCTGCACTTCTCAGTTCCAAGCATGTTGCAATTTTAGCTATGGTTTTCTGAAAGGGAAAAAAAAAACAAAAACAAACCACAAACTTAATTTAGTACTGAAACTGTATTCTTCCATATTCACATTTTTTAAAAATATAAATACAAACAATTGCTTTTTCTTGCAAAGATTTCAGGTCTATTATTCAGTACCAGATCATTCAGCATCAAAAGCTTTTTTATACACAAACAAGATTTTCTGAAAGCGCAATAGATTAAACAGACATCTGCCAGTTAAGTCCCCTCCCACAGCTCATCAACACAGATGGGGGTCATTCACTCAGCAGAAACTGTAATAATGCCTACCACATCATAAATTGTTTATAAACTCAACTGCTCTGAAGTGATAGCGGAGAGAAAAAAAAAAAATCCAAACCAACCAGTACATTACTTTTTGAGAACTCGAGTGGTTTGCTCTAATTTGCCCTTCTAGGAGTCATGTCTACAGTTCCTCTATCGGGCTTACAAACTCAGCAGACGAAGTCAGCCCTCCTCAGAAGTTACAGAAGCCCAGTATCTCAGCACCAAAAAAACACGGTCCGCTTTTGTGGGTTTTGGTGGGAGAGGAAGTATAAAGGCGGATTATTTTTCTAATTTTCTATTTTTGTAATTTCAAGACATTTAAACTCTGAATGAAGCATGAAATAGATTCTTTGATTTAAACTTGTCAGCTATCTAAAATATCCCTGAGCAGAACTGTGAAGTAATATCTCATTTTTATTCGAAAATGTAGAAGAGAGGGAAGGGCTTCAAAATACCCCATTACTAGGAGTCTTACTTTGAAGACAGTGCTACTTAAGCTTTTATGTCTCACAAAGTAAGAAGCTCCCGCAACAGTCACGCTTGTTTCTATTACTACCAGCTGACAAAATCAAGAGGAATTCAGACTTCCATAACTGACATCAAGTGGACACAACTGCATGGTGTATTTTACCTCGCTTGACCATCACAAGTTTATTCATTAACTAAAAGGTTTTAGTGAAGAAAAACCAAGTCTATCTGCAGAGATAAGGGCCAAATATAATTCAAAATGCTCTGTGGAACATTTAAAGGGCAAGAAAAATAGCAACAATGAAGCTATAAAGAAAAGCAGGTTATTTTCAAAGTAAGATTTCCCCTCAGAAAGAAGATAAAAGTTGAAATACGCACCTGTAACTCATTCTCTCCTTTTAAACCAAGCAGTATAAAAACAGCTCCCCCCAAGCTGGATGCAAGGGGAGGAAACGATTTCCTAGAGCACAACTCTAGCATCAAAGAGCTTCAAGAGTACGGGCATCTGGCAAGTTATGTGGTATCAGTCAAAAGCCAAAAACTTCCATTTAAAGGAGGGTTACATTTTAGAGCTCCAAGAGGTCTGTGGCAGCAGATAAAAACTAGGCGTGCTTTCACAGCTACCGTCCCCAGTCATCTGCCTTGACTCTCCTGCAGTCAGAACTGCTTCTCGGTCAGCTCCTGGGCCACCACTAGTTTCAATAGGCTGGGCTAAAAGCTAAGTGGCTCCAGTTTCGGTTCACCTTATGCCACACTGAAAGTTGAAAGAGTTCAGGAGCTGAATCATAAGCAGATCAGACATCAATACCTCAAGGGCAGAGCCAACAGCTGGAGTGTGTAAAAGCCTCAGATACCTGATTTTCATCTGCCACCACAGGCTCATCAAAGCTTTCAAAGCCATTTCTCACCACCTGGTATCTCCTCTCGTCTTAAACACTGTTACAACATAGCATTAGCCCAGACTTTACGTCCTCGTAGTTTATATTACTGTCCATTTTATGGAGGTCTTATAAAAAATTCAGTTCTTCTGAGCACCTCCCAGGAAAGTAGCGAGTGATGCGTGTTAGCATAGGACACGTTGTTTTCTCTTGTGCCTAGGATGCAGCATGTGCAGGGGTGTGCTGTTTGGGAATTTTAATACAGAGCAACATGACCATATGCTTGCATGCAACATGGCAGAGTAAAAATATTACAGCTCCTTTTCTGCCAAGGTTCATTTTGTAGTCTAGGTTCAGTCAACAAACTTCTACCTCCCTGAAATAAATTCTGCTATCCATAGCTGGATCTCCAGCATAGCTTGGAAAAACACAGATTTTTGAAAAAGAAAGGAGTACGTACAGTCCTGGGTTCATTTTGACACTTCCAGACCCACACTCCACACGTGGGTGTTGTGAATCTACATGTACCTTCAGGCTGGATGGGTACTGTAGTACCAGGTAGTACTACAGAAGCAGATTCTTCTGTAGTAGACATAGACCTGTTGGAGCGGGTCCAGAAGAGGGCCACGAAAATGATGAGGGGGATGGAACCCCCCTCCTATGAAGAAAGGCTGAGAGAGCTGGGGTTGTTCAGCCTAGAGAAGAGAAGGCTTCGGGGAGACCTTATTGCAACCTATCAGTACTTAAAGGGGGCTTATAAAAAAGATGGTGGCAAGCTTTTTAGCAGGGCCTCTTGTGACAGGACAAGGGGGAATGGCTTTGAACTAAACGGGGGTAGATTTAGACTAGATACAAGGAAGAAATTTTTTACGCTGAGGGTGGTGAAACACTGGAACAGGTTGCCCAGAAAGGTGGTAGATGCCCCATCCCTGGAAACATTCAAGGTCAGGTTGGACGGGGCTCTGAGCAACCTGATCTAGTTGAAGATGTCCCTGCCCACGGCAGGGGGGGTCTATGATTCTCGGTCCCTAGGGTGAAAATGCACTACATCCATCTAATCAGCTGCAGTGTAACAAAAGGAATTCCTTTTTATATTTGAGAACATCTGGAAAGATACATTTGCAAAGGTAGAATCTTAAAGAGGAAGGTGTGAAGTAATGGGTAAAAGAAAGGAATCCACAGGTTCCCTAGGGAAGGGAGGGGAAATCTCTGAGGTTTGACTACAGCTCTAACATTTGCAAAAACCCAGCTGTTCTGATAGTTTGGGTGTTGACTGCTGAGCAGAGAGCATGCCCATTCTGTGTTAGATCAAAACCCCTCCGACAGCACCACAGAAAGAGGGCTGCAAGTTCGCAGGGTGCCAGCACATAGTATCTGTGCCTCACCACGGAATCAGAACATGTAAACAGATTTTCACATGGCTTCTCTTCCCCTCCCTGTCTTACATGCAGAGCATTAAGCCCACACGGTAAATGAGGTCTCAAGAAGCACTGCTCAACCCCTGTCTCCTTTTGTCAATTCACCGATAAGCTCAGCAACATCCCTGTTCCTAATCCTGCAGATGCATAACTGTGTATTCTTAGAACTGCCTGAACTAGGTACCTCCTAACAGGACAAGCAGCAATACAAAATGTGTGTCCTCTGGCTCCTGAGGGCTGAAGGGCAATAATGGCTCTAGAAACAGATTAACTGAAGAGAGTTTGGGAGTCTTAAAATAGTAAAGAATAGGTTTTATATGGAATCTATTGAAATATGGCAAGCTCCCAGCAGGCATTATTCATAACTATTTTTTTAAGGGACCACACCCAACCCAAAAGTTAAAAATGCAGCTAAACACTGCTATCATTTTCAGCTGCAACTATCCCATGCAAAGGCTCATTTTTGCAGCAGGGAAAACATTCTGCATCTCATTAGAAAGAATGAAGCCATCATTAACTTTGCAGTTTAAAATAGTTAAGATTTAGTTTTATGTAAACTCATGATTAGAAAGGGAAAAAGTCAGTTGATCTCGTAGTCAAGGTTTCTTCAGTGCAGTTGTGTGAGTAATGACTGTGCTAACTGTAACGCAGTCAACGACGTTTGCATAAATACAGAGCCAGAGCAGAGTTTGGCTTTAAAGAGAGGTCTAGGCTGTTAGGAGACCAGTAGTTTAATGAATCATGCTAAGACTGTTCAACAGTGCTCTTATTTCAGCAAGTTACCATCGCATAAAAAAAAGCATGATTTTCTAATACTGCCGAAAACTCAGCCTAGCACAAAAACAGTTACTCAAGAAAAGCAACAACTGCGGTTGGAAGAGGGCTTTAAAGGTCAAATTTATTGCATAGAGAACTGGGTGAGAGTAATTATAGCTGGGAGCAAGCTGACAACCATGGCCAAACCTAACTGCAACGATTCATGTAGCAAAACAGTGGTTGATCATGAATGAAGATGGGATTTTTTGAGAATGAAGGTAAAATAAAGAACAGCAGGATGAAGATGTTAAGACTGAGGTAAATCCACCAGTAACTGTATCTGTTAATATTCCATACACGCAGCTTCTAGGTGATGAAATTGTTGCACAGCCTCCTTAAAGCTGTTGCAGGGTGACTAGATTTAAACACAATGACTTGTTGTTTACAGTATTTATCTGCAGAGAAATTATTCAACAAAATTCAGTCATTAATGAAGATTCCAGCACTGTCAATTATCCAAGTCAAGACAGAGCCTTCCCTAAGGACTAAAACTCCAGAATTATGTCCAGCAGCAGATGGAAGACAACAACCCCCCAGAAACTGAAAATCCAGGAACAAACGGCAAATTCTGGAGACTAGTCTGCTCTATCAAGGGAAGTAGCATACAGTGTTTCAAAACAGACTCTTCAGATCAATAGCAAAAAGGCAAGATATGAATATTTAAAAGTCTGAATTCTTACCATAAACAATACATTTATTATAAGATAAATGATAACTGGCTCACAATACGCCTAGGAAAGAAATTGGTGGTATCTGTCAAGTGTTGTTAGATTAACAGATTGTACGATTACATTAGCAAGTAACACACCATCAGTTATGGTGTGGTCCTATCTGCACTGTAACACCACCTGTGATGCATGAAATAAACCCAAACATGGTAAAAGTTTATACAGACAGATGGGGCTGAGGATTTGAACCTAGCCTTGTCCTTTCCCTGTAGCTGTAAAGCTAGTAGTTTTCCTTGGTACAGAGCAGAATCACTGCTGAAATCCATCTTCCCCACAGAGTATGTCAAGTAAGAAACAAACAACGACAGCCTCATAGTAATTCTCAGCAGTGTGTATGATCCTTTGGAAAACAGCTAACTGTAAATCTACACAAAAACTGGAACGATGGTAGATCAAGCAACTGGAAATCATGATTAGCTTCATAGCCTTGCCTTCTCCAATTTAAGAAATTCTGTTCACAGCCTTGGCCAGTAATATCAGATAAGCAAACCCTGAAGTTTACACACTGTTCTACATTCAGAAAAATAAAGAGGTGGCTCTTATATGACATACAGAACCTCAGAAAGACAAGATATTGGGGAAAGAGACTTTCCAGAACCAGGAGGAAATAGCATGCTGGTGGATGCACTGGCAGGAACTTAGTTGAGCAAAAGTAGCTGTTTTGGTATGTAGATTTTTTGAAGGGTGGCGAGAGAGAAGATAGGCTTCTGTTTAATCAAACTGCTTGAAAACCCAGAAGCGTGCTAAACTCTACTTCTACACGCCAAGTGAATGATACTAGCAATGATAGTAATCGGTCATGATAACTAGATTATACCGGCTGAGCTCCTGCAGAAATAGGGAAGGCCAGAACAGCACGGAGCTTAATGTCAGACTAAAAGATTTTGCTGTCCAGAGTTTTAAGTGCTTCTTTCAAAGCAATAGCAAGACTTAATTTTTGTTGTGACTGGTGTTCCTCATGGTAGAGGAGGGAAAGAGAATGTTCTCTCAACAAAATGTTGGGGAATTCGGCTGTGTATGTGGCTAATGAAATAGGCACCACCATTTGATAACCAGGCTCAAAGTTTCAGTGCATCAGCCCCCTACTGATCTGCAAAAAGAAGCAAGTGATATAAATGTCAACCTCTTTTGTAAGTTATATCAGCTTTAGAAACAGGTATTGCTCTGCAAGGATTCAAAACAGCCACCCCTTTCTTTTCAGAAGACTGTTGCCTTAAGACATGATCACAGTTGCACATCTAACATCTGAGGTCAGTTATCTCTGCTTCCTGAGCCCCCCAGGCCTTCCCTCATGGCTGACCTCACTCGCTTCCACAATCTGGTCCAAGGTCCTTTCCACAAGATTCGGGGAACATCTGGAAGCAAAGCCCTGTGTGGTTCTGGTTCCCATACTCACAGGAGATGATGCCTCCAGAAGTGAGATTAACAGCTTTGCCTTCATGAAGTAACCGTATTTTCAAAAGTATCCACAGAGGGGAAACACGCAGTAAAGATGACTATAGCTGAGAATGATGGAGAAAGCTACCAGCAAGGGATAGAGAGCAGAAGCAATCAGAGTAAACAGCTGTCCAACATTAACAAGGCTCCCAAGCCTTCAGGTCAGGAAAGGTGGACCCAGTCCTTCTCCAAGACTATGACTCAGTTTAAGACGATCATGAGCCTCACCACCTTCTTTGCAGAAGGTAAACAGAACATGGAAGACCAGCTCTTTGCTTTTCTTATTGGTACATGTCAGGGAAACAGTTACAAACCACTGTCAGACACTATGTAAAGGTGTATTTCTTTGTAATGCATTTCTCTAAACACATCAAGTTCATCTCCAATTTCTGTAGTCAGGACCTGTTTTCAGGACCAACGTTTCCAAACACAGATCCCATTACTCTAGCACCCTATTACCATAGGTGGGATTCTGGGCTAGCAAATGTCAATCTTCAGGCAACGCCATTGCTCAAACGAGTGACCTTATGACTTGGAAATCTGCAAATACAGGGGTTCTCTAATTTAGTATTCCTAAGAAAAAACACGCCTTTAAACAAGACACAAATATTTAGCAAGGCCTTATATCTCAAAAAGATTTTATTTTGCTGAAAATGCGTGAATGTATGAGACCTCAGCTAGCATTTTCCTCTTAAATCCTGTCACAGAATTGCATTACGATGCTGAGACAAGAAACAGCCTTTTCAACTGAGGGGAGGGAGGAAGGAGCAAAGTAATTTCAGTATTTTGAAAGATTATAAACAAATAACACTCTAAGAGACAAGTAGGGAGTATTCTGCCAGGACCCTTCCCAGTCAGGTGTTACATGTTAAGCTAACATCCTCCTCACACACCCTCAATGTCTGCAGTTCAAGATGTTTTGTATTCAGACTTCACAACATAAATTGTGCTAAAGTTGTATAAGCAAGTTATCAAAAGGTCACCCAAAAAAAGAAACACCCAGGTTATGAAGGACTCCGGCCAGCATGCATGACATTCAATATTACACAGCAGAGCATCTGTCACATCCAATAACAGCAACTGTTTTAGCCATGCTGGGCTCTGTTTCTGTATATCGAGAGAGGAAAAAAGGTCTCATAAGGCTCTGGTCTGCAAGATACAAAGAACCATAGCAGACATCAACATCTACGAGTCAAGCTCCTTGGCTGAGCAAACAGCAATACTCACCTTTTGATCTTCTGTGAATTCCGAGTTGTTGTGCTGAGACTGCGCCTCTTTTTGTAGATGCCTTGCTAATCTGGATGGGGGGGAAAGAAAATTGTAGAGTGGGAACACAACACAGAAACACACACGCATCCCAATCTCCAGAAAACGTGTCAGCCAAAAGGTCCGCAGACTGCTGCTCCAAATAGGTTTTTTGTTTGCTTAGTTGTTTTTTTTTTTTAAACAAAGACTTCTATAACCATGGTAGGCCATACTTAAAAAACCCCAGAAGACGGACAAAGTATGCAACTACATTAGGCAGGAAAGACTACATATATAATGTATCACGAAGGGAGAACAGGTAAGAAGGTCCTTCTAGCCAACAGCCCCTTTTATAAGCACTGACCTTTTTCCTCTCCCCATCCCCTTATTTTATAATAACAAACTATACCCCCTGTGAAGACCCACTGTGGTACAAGCCCACATGCATTTCAGGGGAGAGTTTGAGGCAAGTCGGATTGCCAGGAGGTGCAGGTGCCGGCACCCTAAGCAGCAGCCGCACGCTCTCCCAGCGCTGGAAGCCAGGCGCAGGGCCGCTTGGCCCAGGCTGCTGGGGTGTATCAGCTCACATTTGTGCCTGTCAGCATCACATGCGGAGCAGGGACCCCACCCCTTGTCACCACGGAGGCAGGAGTACCAAGGGGTTTGGAAAGTAACAGTAAGCAAACAGCTCAAGAAAGCGAAAGGAAGCTAGAGAGGGAAGCTATGGGAAGAGTTACAGTTTCCGTCCGGGGAGGAAGGAGAACATTAAACAAGCAAAACCTCTGGGCAATTGTTGCCATTCCCTGTAAATAATTTTTTTTTTTAAAGCAGAGGGGGAGGGGGGGACAGGGGGTTGAGGGGAAACCCAGGGACAGCAGCAGTACTCCGGGCATCGCAATACACTTCCGTCTGGAACCTCACAAGTTTGCACTGTTAAAGCTGGTCGCCACGACTGCAGTGGGGATTAGCCTGGTTTTTGGGGGGGTTTAAAATACATACACCAAGATGTATATACCACAACAGATTACCGTCAAAGCCTGTGTCAGAAACAAAAATTGGAACTCAATTATTTCTTTGCTTTTCCTAAAAATAAACTCTCTTAAAAAAAAAAAACCAGAAGGATTGAGGCCACTATAGTTTTTAATTAGCACCAGTGAAAACACAACCAAACAGGACAAGGTAACTGCACTTTAATTAGCCAGTGAAAACACAACCAAACAGGACAAGGTAACTGCACAACTTGGCATTGTCCCGCTTCACAAAAGGGGAAAGATGGTGGCTGAGAAGAGACAAAAAGCACAAACATGCTTGAACCCAAATGTACACTCCTTCCCTACCGCTATAGTTTTTAATTAGCACCAGTGAAAACACAACCAAACAGGACAAGGTAACTGCACAACTTGGCATTGTCCCGCTTCACAAAAGGGGAAAGATGGTGGCTGAGAAGAGACAAAAAGCACAAACATGCTTGAACCCAAATGTACACTCCTTCCCTACCGCCCCGTTGATAGGACACAAGGGACATACAGAAAGGGCATTTAAAAATAACAATTTAAGAAAACATATCACCATAGCAGCAATATGCCACCCACAACAGGCAGCATCACAGTATTAACATTTCTGCAAGCATCAGTAACACAACCCTCTTTCCATTTGTCACTAATACAAAAAAACCACCCTAATCCAAATAAGTGCATCTGGCATCCCACTTGAAGCTTGTTCAAAGTCAGATCAGACCAAGTTCCACAGATGGGGACTTTCAACAGGGAAGGCACTGCCGACAGCTCGGAGGGCTCTTGCACGAGTAAGCACCTGAATGAACGAGGGCCAATCTTTGCACCAAGCTTCCTGCACTTCCAGAAGTAACAAAGACCTGAGCATATGTAGGAGCCTCTCCCCAGCCTCCCTGTGTTGATCAGTACAGACCTTGCCAATGTTAGCAGCACCTGGCCAACTGCAGCAACACACTTGTTCATCCCATCTCAGGCTGCCATTTGAGAAGGCAACAGCATAAAGCCATGCTGTTATGTCTCTCCAGAGCTACAGGTAGGTATCTTGCCCTGTGCTTCTTAACTGCAGCTTCTACCCTATAGATTGGAACTGTTATTAATTTACCTGCTATACCTAGAAGAAGCAGATACACGCACTGAAAAGGTTCTGCTCCTCCCTAGAAAATATCTCCCTGTAATCCTTTGATCTTCTCTCCCCTTTATTCTCCCTCCTGGAACCACAGAGTTCATCTACTGATGACTATTCAGTAGAAACCTCACTGATAAAGCTTGCAAGAGCAGCTTACAATATTACTACCCAAGAAGAACCTTCTTATAGAGATATCACGCTGCTCCAAAGTCAGAATAAAGCAAGGGCACGGAGATCACCTCAGTTCTCGTCAGATACAAGTGATGCTGGGAGGAAGGGAACAAAAGTTGTACTTTGACTCTGAAACTGGACTGTTTGCAGACATTTAGTGACCTTACTTCTCAATGAAGCAAGCTCAGAACTAGAAGCCTGAAGACTTTTCATTCTGAAGAAACATCATTACATGAAACTGACTGCTGAGACTGCCAAGACGGTTTGAAGCATTAGGATCCTACTGGACTCCTCGTAGATGTCCACATAAGGGCAGTTATTAAAAATATCTTCTTTTACTTTCTGATGATTGTTTTTTTCTTCTGAGATACAGATCTAGAAGAGAACTTCTTTTCATCCCTGTTCCAAGGTCTGTAGTAACAGCTTGCCCTGCTCTAAAGACCATCAGCAAACTGCAAATAACTGAACTTGCATCATCCTGTCTGGTGAGTGAATGAAATGATGAGATTATAGCATCTCATGACTATGCTGTACCCGGCCAGCAGCTTAGTTACTCTGAATGGCAACCGAACTGGTAGCCACTGTGGTTACAGCCCATAACTTGAGTAGTCCTGAATACCACTAGAAGATCTCTTGGAGAGCATCTCTTCAGCTGACTTTCTGTTGGGGAACAAGTGCAAACCCTCTGGACCTCTTCCAGAAAATTCACCGTAAGAAACTTAGCCCACGATACTCACATTACAAGGAAATAGCTTTCATCTTCATGGTGAACAGAGTAGTAGAGGAGAGCATTTGACTAAAGCTACCAGGTGTGTTTCTAAGGATACCATCAACAGTGCCAATACTTGTTTGATACCAAGGGATTCACGGACAGTGTGGTCTCCCCCGGTGAGAGAGACTGGGTTGCTAACCGGGGTCGCTCCAGCCACTGCCCTCCCACCATCAGGTTCCCCGCGCTCCCACCCCGGTTTCATCGGGGGTGAAACGCACAAGTGTGCAATGGACCAATTTTCACCCTGAAGGGTTGTTTGGGGTTTTTTGGGGAGTAAGGCTGATGCTTCGGCAGCCCATTCGCCTCAGCCGGGTCCCCCCTGCCCCACAAGCACGGTGCCCCGGGGGACAGGGCGATGGGCTGGGGTTACCCCGGGCCACCGGTGCCCGTGGCCGTGGGGCTCCACCAGCGGGCCACCCCGCAGCCGGGGGCCCGTGGCCGTGGGGCCCCACCAGCAACCAGCCTCGACGGCCAGGGGGCCCTGCAGCTCCACGCTCCAC